TTCGGTAGAGCCGCAGCATGGCACTACTCCCATAGTATATTTCCTTCGAATAAATAATTGAACCGAGCAAGAATAATAACCGTAATATTTTCTAAAGTGGAATGTACGCACTTTACGTGACTTTGTTCACCCTGTGGAATTGTAAAACTCATTATCCGATAGCTTACTATGATCGTACCATCAGATAATAAATAATTATTGGATGCTTCGCATCCAATAACGGTATTATCCGATGGATAACGACGACTGAACCAACAGAAAACTCGAGTTATTTGATGGTGATTGCGTCATCATCAGATCACAAAGTTATTTGATGATTACGAAATCACAATCAAATAACTCGCATAAATGCAAATAGAAAAGAAAACGTGAAGACCAAATTTTGATAAAATCTGAGAAGTTTGAACATACGGTGTATGATAAATTTATGCATATTAAAGAAGAAAGCAATACACATATGAATGTTGAGATAGTTGTGGATGTTTTACAAATAATTATCGAATTAGGAAAATAATACCGAATAAGTTCGAGTCATAAAGATCTGGATGATTACTATAGAAATTACCATAAATAAATCAAAAACTATCTCATTTATATATTGGTGCAACATCCGCTGTGAGCTTGAGAAGAGAATGATAAAAAGTAAACAGCGCAATAGAGAATATGTTCTTATTTTTTTAACGTCTTGCTAATCCTCTCGGAAAGATAGGCGCATCATTTTCTAAAAGGTTTTTATTGTATTATATCTGGTTTATTGTTTACAATACTTTAAAAATTCTAAACATTTATTTTGATTTAGGTACAGTGAAATTTGTAATATCCTTTTATTTGGAGGCTTTTAAATAACACAAAAATTATTAAAAATGCAAAAATGTAATTAATTTTGATTTTTAGCATTTAAAATAAAAAATTATTTTAATTAAGTTTACAACGCTAGTCATGCGTCAGGTCAAATTCAATGAAATAAAATTTATTTTATTTTTTTTTTTTTAATGAAATAAAAATTTAACGTAAAACATTTGTTTCTTATTATTATATGCATTACTAATCAAATGTAATATTATCAAAATATCAGTGAATAAATTTAGGCTCTGGCGATACAAGGCGGGTTAGGGAATTATCTTTGTCGGATTTTTGATGCATTTTGTATCTATTGTTACGAAATTTTTTCGTAAGATTTTTATTATTACATTTTTCTATGTAATACTTTTATTAGTAATATCGATTACTATGCAATTATAGTTCATAATTACTTTCTTATCAATTGGAGGGTTAATAGAATTAGATGAAGGGTCATTGATTGATAGTTCTCTTTTTGGAATTTCACTCAGGTTCTGTATTCTTATGTTGTACCTTTGATTAACCCGATCATATAATCAATATACTAAATTGCTCTCCCATTATAAAATTTATATTTTTTTTGCTAGTATTGAATACCTTAATGATTACGGCCCAATAGCTAAATTGGCATCGAAGTGCTAAAGTCTCTCTCCCTTGATCGTAACATTATGCAAGCAATTTTAGAATTAAAAGCGTGATATTTGATTAAGATACGTAATCGGGTGTCTGTATACTGGCAAATTTGCCTACGAATCTTACGGTGTAAGGGATAACTTATTTTCAATTATATAAATTTGATGGGTTAAACTAATTAAAAAACATTCCGTGATATTATTGTTCTATATGCTGCAGTAATAACAATAGTTATTTGAAATTCCCGCCATATTAACTCGCCAGAGGTGTGGCTATGGTGATTTTGGTCTTGTAATAAGTTTATTCTAGTGATCCTTATATGTTTATTTCCCGCATATAAGAGCGTAACCAACTGTTTTCGATGTTATGCCTTTTCTTGGATATATGATTAAAAGAGGCCTTTACCATTTCTTCTTAATTCTTTCGTTTAAAGCTTCACTTAGAATTTCAACACACTGATAACGCATCTTTTACTGAGAATGTTTTAGCTTCATATTTGTTTATTCGGCCGCTATTAAACACCGATATTGGTGGCGGTGTAATTCTTTGTTCATGTGATTTATGGTGCAATATTAATTTTATGCTAAAAATTTTTTTACCAACATGTTTTACACCACTTAAAAATTCTTAATTTTAGATGCAAGCATCAAATTTTAAACCAAACTCAGCGCACATACCACATTTCAAGTACATTATTGGTAACGAGGTTGCTAAAATGAAAATGTTCAAATAACTATCCGAAAATATATAGAATTAAATTTAGAATTATTGTCATACAAACTAAATTATTAACACAAAATAATAAAATAATACTAAATATCTTGTAAGTATGTATAGTTAATTTAAATTTTACGCATCCATTGCTTATAATATTCATTTCCACGAAGCCCAAGTAAAACCATTGTAGAATTTGTTAACGAAAATGGATAATTCGATGTTAAGGCGACATCAGATGGATTGTCAGTTTTATATTGTATAATAGGTTGTGGGTGAACGCTGTATGATATGATCCCCTTATATTTAATTTGCTGTGAAATCTCATAATCAATCGGTCCTCGTGGATTCATAGGATCTATCGCTTGTAGCATCTTGTAGGCTCCAGAGTTCGAAATTGCATAAGCATGTGTACATTGTGGGTTCATTGATTCATACAATTTGTTCGGAAATGAACTATTGCCTACAAGATTACCTCTCGCTTCATAACAATGACCTAGGTGTACTGTATCCCAAGATTCTGGCAAATTACGATGAATATCAATCATAATATCGGTGATGTTAGTTTCGAAGTCCACATCATCTTCTAGAATTAAAGCGTTATTAAAGCCTTCATCAATTATTTTATTATAGATTAAATAATGAGTAATGTAACAAGCTCTTTGACCAACGGTTACTTTTCCATTTTCATTAGTATATCTCTGAAGCACTTTATTAAATTTGGAAATGGCATCAAAATATTCAACATCCAAATTAAGATAGGAAACTAGTTTGTTCATTTTTTCCCGTCTATCTTCTCGGTAATTAAGATTCACAATATAAATATGTTCGAAGCCAAGTGTGCGATTCGAAGGTCTAATCTCTTTTAACGTGTTAATGAACCAATTGGATATATTAAATATATTGAATAAATTTATATATATAAAAATTACAAATATGAAGAAGTTACAGAATTTCAGCGTCCTTTGAATATTTTTTATCATTTTGACGTCATAAATATTAATATAAATACTAAAAAGAAAGAAAAAGGTAGCTAATACTATTTAAATATTTTTTACACAGGAGTATATATGTTGTAAATGGGAATGGAATTAAGTAGATTGGGAATTTCCAAGTTAAATTAAGGTTATGGTAAGGGTGTATATATGATAAAATCAACCCCAAAATGCTGGGTTTATATAAAAATTCCGTTTCCACTTAATCCCGCTTCCACTTACAACATATATTTGATGATCCTAATATAAGATCATAATCGTCATAGACTGTAAGGAATATATACTCTTTGAAGTATTTCATTTTATCAGCAAATCATCTAATCGACATCACATAACGTGACAATTCACAAATAATACAGTCAGGCCTCCCTAAATGCAATGCGACGCGACCATATATAAAAATTTAGTCAAACGTGCACTTAGAGAGGTATTGCATTTATGGAGGCAAAAATCTATAGATGTAATATTAGTTGGACCCAAGAAAAGACATGCATCTAGGGAGGAGTTTCATGGGACGTGCACTTAGGGGTCTGTCCAACTGTATATGCTAACATTAATATGCTAAATTGTCACCCTAAGTGATGCCCATAGAATTATCAGACTTAACTAAAAATGTATTCAGTACGAAATTAAATACGCAAATGCATATATCTTAAAGATGATCTTGACTTATAAGTTTATCATAAATGCAAGCTATTTATCAAATATAGCTTCATGTACGTACCAAAAAATGTAAATCCAAACCGTTTTCAAAATCAAAAGCAATTATAAAACTATGATTAGACTAAAAAAAGCTTCTCTAATTTAAAAATTTGGGTGAATTAGCAATTATATGCAGATCCACTTATTTATATATGGGTCTTTGCATTGAAAATCACCTTCCGACATTTCCGATCGGGTTATAACTGTTTTCATAATTCCTGGGACACTTGCCGAATCCTGATTGGCCGAAAATCATTTGGCTAATTTTTTACAAGTGCCCCAGGAATTATGAAAACAGCTGTAATTCAGACCAAAATAAACTCGAGTACCGGTTCATGTTTATATGTTAAACATCACGGCGAATTTATGAAATTTTAGCTAAAATTCGGTCACCAAATCCGAGTATTTGGTCCCTAACTTTAAATTT